TGTCTTGTTAAACTGCTTCCAACAGTAAACTTTTTTTCACAGGTAGAACATGAGAAAGGCTTCTCGCCTGTGTGAGATCTCATATGATGGGTTAAATCAGATCGAGTTCTAAATCGTTTTTCACAGATTTCACATAAGAAAGGCCTTTCACCTGTGTGAGTTTTCATGTGACAAAGCAAACTACTCCTGTCACAGTAACCCTTTCCACAAGTCTCACATAAGAAAGGCTTCTCTCCTGTATGAGTTCTCATGTGATAAAGTAAACCACTGCTATCACTGTAACTTTTTCCACATGTTGTACATGTGTAAGGCTTCTCCTCTGTATGATTTCTCATGTGACGTTTTAAAAGAGATTTTGTGCTGTAACTCTTTCCACAAGTCATACATGAGAAAGGCTTGACTGTGTGAGTGGTCATGTGATAAATTAAACCACGTCTTCGAGTGAAAGTTCTTCTACACGTTGTGCATGTGAAAGGCTTCTCGCCTGTGTGAACTCTCATGTGATAAAATAAAGTGCTTTTGTCTCCGTAACCCTTTCCACAAGTTATACATGTGTAAGGCTTCTCATCTGTGTGAGTTCTCATGTGACGTTTTAAGAAAAATCTTGTGCTGAAACCCTTTCCACAGGTTGTACATAAGAAGGGCTTCTTTCCGGTATGAATGCTCATGTGACGTTTTAGGTGATATATTTTACTTTAATGCTTTCCACAGGTCGTACATGAGAAACCTTTCACAGCTGTATGAGTTCTTTTGGGTGTGTTTTGATTGGAACTGTCAGCAGTGCCTTTCTCCTCTTTGGTTTTCTGGGATCCCTCATTTTGTTTCTGCTCTTCATTCCTCGGCTTTCAAAGACGTTTCCTTCCAGTTCCTGGTTCTTTGTCTTCAGAGGAAGCCTGTGAGATGAGCAGGTCCCTGTTTGGGTTCCTTTCATTGAGTTTTTTTTTTTTTTTTTGCACATCAGGACGACTCACCACAATCGATTCTGCCTCCTGTTTTAGCATAACCAGCTCTTCCCCCTGACTGATGCAGAATGAAGAGCAGATTGATTGCTGCTTCTCTTCCTCTTTGAACTCTTGATGTTCGGGATTATGTGAATCCTGTTTTGTCTGCAGTGGTTCTGTTTTTCTTTTTAACAAAGATGGCGCAGCCCATCTGGTGGCAGAGCTCAGTGGGATCCTTCTCTTCTTCACACACAGAATTTTGTGGGAGGTCTGGAAAAAAAGACAAAACAAAAGCTCATAGCTCATTTGAGTAAAAGAATACATTGTTTGATTTTATGTATCAGTGCTTCTGTGTTTATTTTGTCTGTCTGCCTCAAACTTCTCTGACATCTCTTCACACTGAGCCTGATTCTAATGGAGGTTTCCTCCACGTTAAAAGGGAGTTTTTTTTCTCTTCACTGTTGCTGAATGCATATTTGGTGTGAGGCAGTGTTGTAGTCAAGATCACCTAACTTGAGACCAAGTCAAGACTAAGAACAGAGTTTATCGAGATTAAAGAACAAGGGCCTGATCTTTAAAAACATGCAAAAATTGGACATGTAAGGGATGAGCTACAAAGATTGCTCCGCAAATGACTTGCAACCGAGTTTGGCTCCGCCACATTAAAATGAGCAGATTGTGTTTGGACAGTTGGGAGAGGTGGTAAAAAAGATGAGGCTAATAAGACATACAGTTGGAAGTAATTTCTTTTTTCTTTTTTAAATACAGGCAGCCCATTTCAAACAGCTATGAAAAATGTAAGAAGATAAAAATATCTAAAGGTAAA